ATGTTCAAAATCGATAGTAATGGAGAATGTGGCCCTTTATTTTTCTGTTTATGTACAGGTCTGCTTAATAGTCCAACAAGCTCTTGTATATGTATGTCAAGAAACAAATTGTATCAATTTCTAAAAAAGAACAATGTTGTATAAAATTTTATAGAATGACTGTCTAAAAATCAACTATTTTGGAACATTCCTAATAATAAATGCAGAAACCTATTTGTGAGAGGTTCTCTATGTTTTCACTTGAGCTTTTTTTTTTGGTCAATTGTAGAAATAAAAACTCATATTCACTGAGCTCTGGGACACATTTGTTATGCTTTAGCTTTTCCCACCAAGTTTTACTGTTATTTGACAAATATTATTGTATATAGCTGGGGCAAGAGTGGCACAGTTGGTAGAGCCTTCGGTCCTGAAGGTCATGGGTTTGATCCTCCCCACAAGACTTTCTCCAACTGCTTCCACTCATGTCTGTTGTCGTTGTGTCCTTGGGCAAGACACTGAACCCCACGTTGCCTGAAGCCACCGGAGGAGGATCAGCGAGGAACTGGTGCTATGAGGTTTGGGGGGCCGCTCTCATCGCTGCACCTCCAACCCAGAAATGGATTCATAAAGGGGTGGGAAATGAATGAAAGAATAGTGTCTATATAATTCTGTTTTTTTTCTTCTTCTTTTTTTATCTTATGCCTCTGAATGCGCCATACAAAAAAAATCACATTGACACCGATTATCAAAATAATCGTTAATTACAGCCTGTGTCTGGATGCATCTAAGAGATATTTTAGTTTATTGTTCCACTTGGAAATCTTCAAAGTTATAATTAGTAAATGTGTCTGTGGATTATCATTCAGAGGCTGAAGGGACTTTGGAGATATGAGATGTACGATTGGTCGATAGGATTTAAAAGAGCTGAAATTCAACGACAACACATTATCTGTGTTTGTCTCTGTTGGCTACACTTATTGTTGTTTCGGTTTAATAAAGCGTTCTTTTATCAGAGGTTCTGACTCAACAAACAACTTGTGGAAAGAGAAAGACCTCACATAACCCTCAGTAAACTACTTCTTTTGAATTTACTCGATGAAAGAGAGTCTGCGCATAGGAATAATAAAAAGATTAAGATGAAGAGATTCTTTATTCGTCACAAAGTGGGGACATTTCAGTGTTTTATAACAATTTAAAGAACAGTAGGAATGAGGAGCACACAACACAAGTTATGGGAATTTTATTATTATTATTTTGTGTTGGTTTAAATGTTGTCAATTGTGAAGTCTTTGTGCTGCACTCTGTATGAACATGAAATACATTTTGATTCATTCATTGGCTTTTAGATTTATAAAGGTATATTTCTATTTACTTGCTCTCTTATGAAGCATTTAGCTACCGTAATTTCAAGACCATAAGCCAGTACTTATTTCTAGTTCTTTGAAGCCTGCATAACGACATCGCTAACTTTATTTTAGAGGTCGAGTTGCCAGAGCAGAGTTTTGCACTTTGTATTTTGACTTCATTAAAGAGCGACTAAACACCTGTGCCCACCCTTACTCCGCCCACATGAAGATTTTAAAATGTTCTCTTAAAAGGGCGTTGCCTGGAGGACCAAGGGACAAGAAGGGGGGCTTAGAGTTGGGCGTGGTCTGGGCTGTGATTGACAGCTCACTTGTCACACAAAAAAAAACAGACAGTTGTCATTGCTGCTTAAAGCAATAGTTTACAGACCAGAAAGTCTCATTCCACCCTTGTTTACACACTAAGATAATTGTAAAGCTACACACCTGAACCTAATCACACTCAATAATCTCAGAATAACTCATGTAATTTAATTTTAATCCACTAGATGGCGCCAGAACACTCCAAACTGCAGCTGGGGCGTGTGTGAGAGTTGAATGGGTTCATATCACTGGCTCTGACAGACTGACGTCACACAAAACAACTGATGTCATAGAGAACTTCAGAGTCAATGGAGAGGCCAGGACCAAATTAAAATGTAGTACCACCAAAAAGGTTGAGAGGGCACCACACAGAGTTTTTTGGCTCAAAAGTGATATTTTATCTAATTTGAACTAAAATGTCAAAAAAATGACCAGGATATGTAGAGAGCACTACAATAAACATACTTATGCAGTTTATGAGTTAAAAAAAGTTGATTTGGTGTTTAGTCGCTCTTTAAGTTTTAAGCAAATGTTTCAGAATAACACCTTGCCCTGAAATCATGTTGTGACTAGTTTAAACAGTCATCTATCCGCTAAATTACAGCATGAAAACCTGTGGTGCACAACACATTTGGATGATTTTCCCTTCATTGGACGATGCCTAATTTGGTTTAAATAATTTCTGTGAATGATAAAAACTTGATTTCACTTTTGAAATATCACAATGCTTATATTCTTAGTATATGTTTGTACTTGTTTCTTTTTATGCCATGGTGGATTTGATTTTATACTTCTTTATTATGCTAAAGTCAGAGTTTTTGTCCACCTTATAGTCCAGTAGTTAAGAAGCATTTAAGCTACTATTGTATATTTTGCGTGCTCTTACCACTGTCCCGTATGTGAGCTGCAACATCAACATACTGTATCCGCCTGTGTAGGACTCACAAAGGCTCTCTTATCTTTTCCCATACGAGCTTGAATTGTATCATTTCATGTGTTTATGAATGTGATTACAATTACAAATGGCTTAAATGCTCGTGGCCTGTTTGGGTTGTGATGGTGACATTTGAAACGACTGAAATCAAACAGTAAATAAGCAGCAGTCAGGCCGGAGGCGCTTTGTTTCTTTCATTATTCCAACATCTCTCTGTTTAAACAAAACCCAGATATGAGTGAAATATTAATATGTATGTGTGCTTTACCCTTCTCACAAATGAAATACAAAGACATTACATTTGTGTGTGTGTTTTTTAGAGGTCACATGGTAATCTACTACATGCTAAAACAGGCCTGACTCTGTGTGTGTTTCTGTTTTTGTTGAGCGTCCCAAATACTGTACTTATGCTGGTAGGTCATATGAATTTTACTGCAAGTAATGTGTATGTGATAATAATGAACCAAACCAAACCAAACTAAACTAAACCACATGGCACACAATATTTGTAGTGGGCTGTGCCAAACAGCATTTACAAAAGTTTGTTCTGAAATTGTTTATTCTATTGAATTCTTGACATGGTTACATAGTTTCAATCAAATTCAATCCATTTTCTATATAGCACATTTCAGAAAAACACAGATTCCATCCTCCAGTTTCCCCATCTCAACATGCACCCATGATCCCAGTTGTAGAAATTCAGCATTTCCAGAAGCAGCAAAAACACATCCATCCACACAAACAGGCCCACTTTAACTTGTGCTTAACAAGCTTGTGCTTGTGACCGCAGCCTGAGACACACACTGATATTTAATGTACTGTGGTCCCTAACTAAAACATGTTTCACCTAATATGGTATTACTGTTTTGCAATTTTTGTGTGTGCAATTTTTCATGCTTTTTTTCACAGCGTAATTCTCATGCGCTGTGCGTATCTCCAACAACATCATATAACTGGAGTTAAACACGACAGTTATCTTTATTTAAAGTCAGAATACTACTTTTGTGGCTTGTGTGCACCGCAGGGATGAGTTCAGAGCACTACCGCGGTCTTCTCATATTTATTTATTGCACAGATAAGTAAGGTGACAGTGGACACATGTGGTTTTGTATTGCACATTGATCAAAAACAAGGGACCACTGTCATTTTAAATCACACACATTCTTTTTCTGGTTTCCTCTCAGTGGTCCGTAATTCCTCCATCATTTCCTTATCATTTACGGATAAGGAGTCTATGTCATTAATACGGCTGTGTCTCACTCTGTCAGCGTGGACAGCCGGAGAACGCCACGGCCGTCTTGTGTGAGCGCAGCTGTGAGTCCGGGCGCAGAGCTGATTAACCTTTCAGCTCACACCCCCAGAATGCCACTGTTAAATGTGTGCCTTAAGTCCTTTCACGGCTATATAAAACACAGCTGTGATAATATATGCTCGCACAGCTCCACAGACAAATATCACCCACAGCGAGTGACATTTGGGGCTCCACTTGTTCTGCTATTTACATCTTGACCTGTGACGTCAGAGGGCAACGCCGCCAACGGACTGCTGCACTTCGGAAGCTCAAATACATATTGGAAATTCATGTTTTTCTCTTTGTTTACTGCTTCAGTTTTGTATGCATGTGTGTAGTAATATATTCAGTAGAAAACATATTATAGGCAAGGCAAGGCAAGTTGATTTTTACAGCATAATTCATACTCAAGGCAGCTCAAAGTGCTTAACAAAGGAAGATAGTAAAAGCATTAAAATCATAATAAATCACAGTACATTGAAAAGAGTGAAGATAAAATCCATCAGTTATATGCATAGCTAAACACAACTGATTAACTTGGTCCAAGAAGAAGCCTGTCTCACAGGAGGAAATTATTTTCTTTTATTCAAAGTTTAAAACTACAAACACTGGCATGCGTTTGATAATAACGCCATTTGATTTCAGAAATGATCAAAGTATACCGTTGTTTTTGTAGGGTAAGAAAGTGAATGTGGAGAGGGGAGGCTTTGTATCAGTTTGTGTCGGTATTAAACGTCGCAAACGTAGTCCTAAGCCTCGCCTACTCCGGGTTGAATGGATCTAAATTTAAGTAAGAGGGGCACCAGCAAGAAGTTGCAATTGAACTAGTCCATTCTGCCTCGATCAGTCTCATAATCTGATAGGTCTTGAGTTCTATATCGGCCAGGGATATCGTGAATTATACAAAGAACACTGACGACTCTTAAAAGTTAGCGTGGGTTCATTAACTACATATAGAAACGGGAACGGTAACCGGGAGGGATCACACAAGTATGATAAGTCACATGAACAGGAATGTCAGAAACACATCACCATCACACACAATACAACTCCAGCAAGTCTTACTGTTACTGCCAAGTCCCAGAGGTGAAGATGCTTTCTACCCATTTGGGTCAGGCGGTCAAACACTTCAGTCTTCCTCACGCACGGAGAGCGGGCGCACACACACTCCAGTCTTTCCCACACACGGGAAACCCGGAGGTGGCTTGAGGCGCGATGGTCCACGGTGCTCCTTTTTGGTGGGAGTTGGAGCGCAGTTACGCCGCTGCGGGACAGGCAAGTTGAGTTCAGCTCGATGGGAAAAGGATCGGGCAGCTGTCCGGGCAGCGAGCTCCAACCTGCGCCTGGGTTGAAGTTGTGGATCGCGCAGGGGAGTGGGCCGCGCTCCAAGACGCGGCCCACTGGCCCAGAGAAAGTTTCAAAGAGAGTTCCCAAAAGGTTCACAAGCAAAGTTAACGCACGAAAAGTGGCTGTGTCTCTGTTTTTGTTCCGGCTCTGGGGGCGTGTCTTATGACGTCAACTTTCCGCGCCTCCAGAACTCCTTTCATGAAATCATAGTTTTAACCACATACACGTTACTTAGACATAAACACACAACACACCTTGTTCACAGACAATGGTACACACGTTTTCTGATTTAAGATGATAGCAAAACAACATATTCATCCGTGGTTTCAGTTGTCCGTCTCAGGTGTATTGGCGTCCCGTGTCCACTGGGGGGGTGGTGGAACACTGTTGCCGGATCGCCGGCCCATGGGTGATGTCTATGGCTTTGTTTGAGGCGATGCAGACCCACTGGCCCCCTTTGACCTCGCCGGGGGTGGGGGCCAGAGGTGTGCTCTGGGGACGATCACTGTCTTTGAGATGACTGCTGTATCTATGTGAGCCATTGTGGTGCTCTATCCGACCTCCATCGCCTTAGATGTTCCGAGCCGTGTGTTTTTGTTATCTCACACACAACCCCGCAGCTTGGCCGGCTTGCCTGGGTCATCGCGGGGGCAGTGCATTTTATTACCTTACATTTTAAAAGGTAAGAACTGCTCCGAGCGTGATGTCACAGTAGTGCATCATCAAGTACAGTGGACTTCTGGCCCTGGCTGAATAAATACAAAGTTACTTGCCAAACTGCTTTTTTAAGGTCTGGTGAATCACGTCAACTGCAGCTCTTATCAGCTGGCCAGTCACCTTTCCGATTGTGCGGAGACACAGTGGGGGGCCGCATATCAAAGGTAAATCAAGGGTCAAAAACACTTTTATTCACAGTTGCTCTGTATATGTTTGATACCGTGATCAACAGACGCCATGTCCTCTCAGATAACCTGCTGCAGTTGGACTTTATCTCTTCATTGATTGTGATTTCGGCCGTGGACACGGGGCAGTCGTGCGGCGGCTGAAGGATCAGACAGACACACACTCCGCTGGGACCACCCCAGGCCCCGAGGGAGGACGCTGCCCTTTAAACAAGAGACACTCGGGTCTCAGGTTCAACTGAAACAGCTTTGCGAAGATAGTGCTACACTTTCAGTCTCCCGCTTTGCTGAGCTGAAGATCCTGGTAGTGGGATTTTAAAAGCCGTTGGTAAACTATAGTTCATTTCTCATTACTCGCTGATGGGCGTGTCCAAACTTATTTTAATTCGGAGGGAACTGGTTCTTTCAAGGGCCTATGTTGTCATTTTGAATATTTCCTTTGCCATTTCACGTTTTAATCCATTTCACCTTATTTTTGTATAGCCCGAAATCACAAAAGTTGTTATCTTGGAGGACTATACAAAGCTGTTGATTCACAAACAAAGATCAGAGAATCAATTTGAAATGCAATGATAAAGCCAATGATAGAGCCGTAGGTCCACACGGGGTAGACGTTAGACATTTCATCATTTATCCGTGATCTGCTTGGAGAATATCTACGGTTGAGCACACATGTGATCCGCGGTTTGATTTATGAAAATGAGTTTAGCATGCTCAGTTCAGGGATGGCGTGGTCATGGCGAGCGAAGGTACAAAGGAGTAATTATTATTATTGAACAATTACATTTTATAGTTCCAGAGAGCTATAAATAAATGTATGCATATCTGACTATACACAGTGTACAACCAAACAAAGTAATAAGCAAATAATTTCCAAATCAGTGCCTCTTACAATCCTCATAATCACCAATCTGACTTCTCTCTGTGTTTCTTTTTTTCATTTTATTTATTCATTTGATGACTGGTGCTTTCATCTGCTCCCATTTAAAACAGTGAGATGATACTGTACTTGACCTCCACATTGATGCTCTGTTCGGGAAGGTTGTCCCTTAGCTTTAAGCCAAGACAGTGGACAGTCCAACTCCCATCACAGCATTCTGAGCCCAGCAGAAAGCAGCCTGTCCTGGGGTGGATTTATGAGCTCTGTGACCTGGGAAATAAAAGCGATTGTATTGTGCTGGCTAACAGAATGGAGATGGGCTGTTCTCTGTTATTAGTATTGACTGCAGTAAGCTCTGAGTCATTATGAAGCAAACAGCAGCCTCTGCTTTCACAGCGGCCTCGCTCCAACCAGAGAACCACACTGGTCAGATACAGAAGGCAAAAGAAGTCATTTACATAACTGGGCAGGACTGTACCCAAGACTTAATTTCAAGATGAAGCTATACGTTTAACAAGAAAACATTTTATACTTCTAATTACGTAGAAGTTGGAGCTTTTGTGCTTAATTCTTGCTTCTGCATTATGCTATAGTTGGAGGTTATAGATTGTTTCCTTAATATGCTAAGGCTAAAGATTGTATACTTATAGCTTGGTTCGTTTTCATGCTAAAGTTAGAGATTTTATACTTTCTTCTTAATTTTGCTAAAGTTGGAGATTTTAATTGTATTCTGATTCCTTATTATTATGCTAATTTTAGAGATTGTACAGTATACTTATTTCTTGGTTCATTATCATGCTAAAGCTAGGGATTTTACACTCTCTTCTTTATTATGCTAAGGTTACAGATTACATTTTAATTTATCTTGTGCTGTGTGCTCATTCATACTGTTCTGTAAACGGGGATACAACAGTGAAATTTCCTCAAAGAATAGAGGATCTTAGGCCCTGTCCACACGAAGTCAAGCTCAGGCCTAAACGCAAAAATACTTTATCAATCCAGTGTATCGTCCATACGAGGCCGGCGTTTTGGGGGGGTGTAAACGAACATTTTTGAAACTAGGTCCCAGAGTGGAAAGATTTCAAAACTCCGTATATGCCGCTCCGTGGTTACTGCCTCTCCGCAATGTATCTGAGACGCTTGCGTCATCGCCCCGCCTCTTGTTAAAGCACGCATGCGCCGCACTCAGAAAATAATGACAACAACAATGTAGCTTGTTGGTTTTGTAATCCAGTGTGACCCGAAGCAACAGTTCAACCTCATCGTCCGTCCATACTAATGTAGTACCAGCTCGCCCACTCGCCATGTTGTCTGTTTACAAAATTCCGCGCATGCCCAGTTCCCGTCACGGAAGTTTGGGCTTGATCCCGTCATTGCGTCACAGCGTCACCAACAGTTCTGGCATAGTTTCACAGCGTTTTCAGGCGTATTAACTACATTCATATGGACGCACACATTTACTGAGCTAACTCTGTGTTTACAGAAAAAGTTTCTGAAATTATAAGCGTTTTGTCTTCGTGTGGATATAGCCTTAAACTTATAACTGAGTGAACATCTGAGTTGAACCATTGGAATCTATGGAATTCTGACCCCAAGAACAAATCAAGATTCAACTTCAGATTGACTGTACCAAAGCCGCCACATGCCGTCAGTCCTCAGTTCTCCAGCCTGTGCAGACTCTGACCTTGCTCTGCAGAGGTCCCTCGTGAGGAGGCCAACGACACTGGTCAGAGAGTGCGTTTTGGAAACTAAGTGAGGATCAGAGGTTGAGCTGCTTCACAGGAGACAGTAGAGCAGACCGTGCAGTGACTACAGAAAACTGCAGCTCACAGAAGCAGTCCTTCAGCCTCATGTGACACAGTGAGCTGGGGAAGGGCCTGAGACTGTGCCTTTAATACCAGCAACGCAATAAACTCCCAGAGCTGGCATTTCGACTGCTCCCATTCAAACCAAAATAGGTCTGAGCCCCATGAAATGTTGCGTTCAGGAATATTGAAAGTAAGACATTTATAAGGTTTTCATGCGTTACTACAGTACGTGCTAACACTGAATATAACTGAAATCCAGCTGTTGTAAGGCTAACTGCTAACGGTAAGCGTGTGTTGCTATGGTAACTAGCACTTGCTCTTCTCTGGTGGAAAACCAAGCTCAGCTCAGAAACAGAACTAGTCCAGGTCCAGTATAGAACCAGGACCAGGACCAGAACAAGAACCAGTCAAGTGCGAGTCCAGGATCAAAACCAGTCCATAGCCAGAAATTGACCAGTGCAGGACAAGAACCAATCATGAATCAGGACCTTGAAAAAAGGGCTTTAACTGCTACAGAAAGAAAAACTCAAAGTGGCTAAAATTGTTAATTAAACTGAATAGAGCTAATAGATCCTTTGCTTCTTTGGCTGTCAGACTCTACAACAGACCTAGATGAGTCTTCTGCTGCTGGACATCTGAATTTCTAATACAGGGATCAATAAAGTATCTATCTATATACTGTATCTATCTATACAAAGGTAGAGCTCTTTATGTTTCAAAAATAAAACCATCTCTTGCTGGTCCAAACTATTAAATACAATTAGAATGGATTAAACCTGGGTTTAGAAATCATGTTGCATTTGAGATTGTCATCATGGTGTATGTGAACATGTGTTACATAACTATATGTACTGTGCGTAGTGATTGCTTTATCTTACATATTGTCATTATGTATACTGCTATTTCTGCGGGTGTCTCTGACGGAGGAAATCAGCACTTTGTATCTACCCAACTGTATGTTTTGCTTCGCATTTGTGAATATCAGCTCATTGCTGGTAGTCTTTGTATATATACCTGGACAGGATTATTGTTTATTGTATTTATGTATTTTTATTTTATTCTTTAATTACAAATTTTGTTTTAGATGTCTTGAACCTTTTTTTTATTATTTTTTATTATTGTAATTATTATTATTATTTTATTTATTATTATTATTATTATTGTTATTTTTATTTACTATTCTGTTATTATAATCATTATTTATTTGTTTAGTTATCCATTTATTATTTTGAGCTTCTCTGCCCATCACAAGGGAAAAGGGGATAAAAAGTCAAGTGTGATGCATGCTAACCAGTGCAAAATGTGAATACATTGTCAAATACATTGGTATACTTGAATAAAAAAATTATCACAAAAATAAAACCATTCAATAAAAATCAGGACATAGAAATAAACTACATATAGAAACAGAAAATCACAGAAAGTCACAATGTTAGGAAGACCAAGACTGCACTGTACATTTGCTTCCAAAACTAAAAGCCATCAAATTGACGTGTTGAATAAAAGTGTATTTCTAATGGGCTTAAACAGTGCTGCGTGTTGGTGGACTGGCCCTGCGTGTGTCAGAGCAGGTGTGATGAGTGGCCTCCATCTCAAGTGGATCGAACACAATTTGCTCATTACACTCAGCTCTTTGTGAGAACGCCCAAACAACACTTCAACTAAACATGTATCAATATCCACTCTGATATCTGAGGGAGTGGGAGGGGAGAGCGCCAATGATGTTATGTCTGTTTATATAACATATTTTTAACAAACCTGCTTGGCTGAGCCGTCTGGAGGTGTGAGTGTGGATGAATGAGTCTGGGATTGGAACTTCTTTATTTGTCAACCACCATAGATTGATACATAATGTCATATCAAACAATAAAAAATAAAGCAGGTGAATGTGTTTTGGTTGTCGTTTCACCTGCCGTAACGTGGAGAGTGGGTGATTGATGACATTATTAGCATGTACTATAGGAGCTAGCTCATGTGCTCTATCATCATCATGGCTCTTCTTGTGTGAGAGACAATCTATACTTTAAATAAGAACTTTTTCCCATTTCTGTTGAATATACAGTGGTTTGTTGTTTATCGCAGGGGTTACTTATAATAATAATAATGCATTGGTACAGCGCATTTTGGACACTCAAAGACACTTCCCATGTCATTATTCTTTCACTCCGAACTGTTGTATATTTTAAATCTACACTATTCAGATGTGACAATATTTGACCATTTGAACATCATAGCCAAAAAAAGACCTCTGTGCACTCAGGAAAAACCCCAAGGACACAAGAAGTACGAGAATCATAAAGGAGGACCAGCTTACAAAAGCCAGACAATTATTGACTCCCAGAATAAACACATGTGTGGCAAATTTGACCTATGGATCCCCCGCAGCCCCCTCCCGCAGCAGCTGCGTTTACACAGGCGCCGCACGGGTGGGGGCATTGTTTGCTTAAGCAGAGACCAGACCAGTCTCAGACCAGAGACCAGTTTCAGACCTGTGACGTCATCGGACCCTGGGCACAGGACCTCCCTGATACGACACGCCCCGTGCTCCCTGAACATAATGCTCTGGCTTGGGAAGAGACGAGAGAAATCAGCCGAGGGCCAGGAGAGGGACATATTAGTTAGGAGCACCTTTTTGTTGAATATTCTGTATCTGATTGTAAAGATAATTAAATGCAGATGTTAAACTTGGATATCTTCGTCTGATTTCTGTACCAAATTGTGGACACGCCAGCCAAAGGGAATTATTGGCTTCATTTGGTGACCCGAGACGTGATTTGATACAGAAAGAAGACGCAAGATGAGCTCAGATAGATAGACTGGGTCTGTTGGGTCTTGGGGCTCTCTCTACTGCAAAACACAGGTAAGCAGATACCATTTCTAAAGTCTGCACATTGTTTTAAATAGAAGACAGAGAGATCTCGGCCCAGCATGACTGCAGCGTGGCCAGACCGCCGTGACGGGCGTTCTATCGGACGCGATAGAACAATAGTCAGGTTTTTCGACGTTTTTGAACCTTGAGGGATGTTGGTCTCTCTCTAAAAAAGAATATACAGGAAAAGAGCCACAGGGTTTATAAGTGCAAAAGAGGCACACCTTCGTGCAGAGAGGCACAAGGGAATTAGTGAAAAAATAGGAATAGAATTAGAGAAATAGGGATAGTTAGGGTCAGAAGTTATAGGATAATAAAAACTCCATATCCCCCGGGGGTGGGGAAAAGGGCACAATTAATTTAAACAGAAGAAAAGCCAAGTATTTAAAATGTGGATTCTGATAATAATGATCTGATTAATGAGGAAAAAGAGAGCCTCTTGGCTGTAGTATACGAGTTTCATGTGAAGAAATGACAAAAGATCAGTCTGGGAGTTTTTCTCTTGTATTCTGATGTAATGTTTCGATAGTTACAGAGAATCAGGAAAAAAAAAAAAAGATTCTGCTGGAACTCTCGATACATTAATCATGTAGCAAATGGTAATGTTTTCCATTACTGACGTATTTAAGGATAAAATGTAAAGTGTCGTTTGACGTGAGAGAAACTTTTACCACTGATTTAAAACCTTGTCACGAGAAAAACGAGGAAAGTATTTCAGACTCCATGCTTCCTTTGTTCGGGAGGCCCCTCCCCTCCCTCGTTCTGTCCTCTCTCTCTCTCTCTCTCTCTCTCTCTCTCTCTCTCTCTCTCTCTCTCTCTCTCTCTCTCTCCTCTCTCTCGTGAAGACAGAACTATTACCAAAGACATTTTTTGATTTGTAGAAAATTACATTTATACACACGATAATGTTACTGACATGGAGTCATAGGATCACAGAACTTTGAGTTAGATTATAAAGAGGCATTATTTTATTTTTTATTTTTTATCTCCAAGGCGTCTAGACAAGTTTTTTTCCCTACATTTTGGTGATATAAAAGTTAGAATGATCTTAGAGAGCATTATACTTTTGGAAAAATAGGGCTTAGGATAGCAGTTGAATGCAGAATTCGGTTTTCAGAATCTAATGTTTAAAATGTTAATATTAATTATTCCATAGGTTTATTTTGAATTGTAATTAATCATTGGTTTGGTATGGTAATTAACACACTTGTTTGTGTTTCTTGTTTGTCTGTTTTTTCCGAGAAAACTTCTGTCTGTTTCATTTGGCCAAAAATCGTCTCTGCCACAAACCACCATCAGCGTCTCCCCCAGACCCACAGGGGGCACCAAAGACAGCAGCATCGGCTGCAGCAGCTAACAGGAACTCTCGAAGAAGACTTCTCCTGCCTGTGAGGAGGCAAAGAAAAGACCGCAGACTTTTTCACAAACTGAGTGTTGTCCCATCCACGAAACAGAAGGTGGCGGTAATGCGAAGAATAGGCCGCCAACCGCCGGAAAACCAAACAAGAAGAAGAAGGACACGACACATTTGGGTGCGTCAGATATGAAAGAAGAAGAAAGACATTGTGAGAAAGAGTTATCGGAAGAAGAAAGAAAGTGATTGTTGAAAGAAGAAGAAAAAAGACATGGAGACAAAGACATTGGACACTTTGAGACAAAAGACATTGAAAGACGCCATGAGTAAAAGAAAGACATTAAGGGACATTTGAGACGTGGCTGGCCTAAATGAGACACACAGAAGGTAAATATACAGACAGACAACAAACGCACAGAGACATATTAAGTCATATTTACACATTTAGGTCATTCGTTCATAACACCACATTTAGCTGCATGAAAGAATACAGGACAATCGTTAAAATTAATTAGACTCTTGCTTTAGCATGAGACACAAGGAGATTAGAACAGCAGTATATTTAAAGTAGAGGAGCTCTATTATTGAAACTAGTATTATTTAAAGTTATAGACGCGGAGAAGTTTAGAATTATTGATTTTGACTGCATGATCTTGGTAATACGGATATTTAAAGCAGTGTTTTCAACCTTTGAACCGTGGTTCGTTAATCATTTAAAAACAGTCACATGCACAGTTGAAACTGGTGCTAGAAAGAGAACTGCAGCTTTTAATGGACGCTGCATTTAGTACAAAATGGTTTGTTCAGACAATTAAAGTTTG